CGTATAGCCTAGTAGGCTCAGCAGCGCGCACCACCCATCATGTCTGGACCATAGGTCCGGACTTTTTTTGGCTTCGGTGTGCAACTTTATTTACTCAACCAAAGTTAAATACCGGAGAATGATAATCAGTTAGGCTACATGACGGAGTTTACCATCAGCCAAGTGTCATTACCTGCAGGCCGGGCAGACAGTCGCTGAGTGCTCCACTACCGGACACACTCCGTTAGGAACGTGCGTCAAGACAACAGGTGATACAGCACAGTACCCACACAGAGACACGTGACATGAATCACCTTTAAACTGGACCGTTTGATGACACAATTCTTACATGTCATATTAGCTTAACAAGCTAGCACTAGTTTACTTTTTTACTTTTAACGACTGAGTGGGTGAAAGTAATTTTAAAAAGCCTCGCTCGAACTCAAGAAAATACTTCTTACTCCACTGAATCTATAGAAAATATTTAGTTTGTTTGCTAGCTAGCCTACTTCTTAGATTCAGATTTATAATGCAAAATAGGATGAATACATTATTTGTCAAAATATCTTTATTATATGCCCTGGGAATTCACAAGGTATCCAGGTACATGTATTTAAATAAATACAAATAAAACAATTTCTATTACTCAAGAAGGATTAGCTCCAGATGTAGCAGTGGCAGCAAAATGAGGGACACATTAATGCATTCAAATAAATAATTATATAATTAATATTCTTCAAAAGGTCAATTTTTCCAAAGCAACTATTTTTGCTTTGTTGTTACTACTTTAGGCTGCTAAAGGTTAAGAAGAACAGAGTTGGCTTATCCCACTGTCCTAATTAGTATCAAAACAAGGTCCCCGTTTCTTATAATTTAATCTCTAAATGGTCCAAAAAACTTAATTTGGATGTTAAATTCGCTAAATTTTTCTTCTAGGGGTGGGGGGGAGTCCCCCGAGGCCCCCCTACCTTCATTTACTATTATATCCTGTAATACTTTCACCTGCTGTGACTGTTAATTTATAAAGGCATGTAATGCTCTTGACTGTAGGTCACATTTGTCAAAAAGAAGCTAGTTCATATCTGTCAGCCTCAAGCTTGAGCTTAAAAAAAAGTTGTATTCCTTAGAAAGAAAACACCAATTATAATAGTTTATTTGCTACTTGTTTTATATGTTGAGAATTTTCAGTGTTCCCAACTACAAAGAGAAAATACTGAAGTAATTTCTTATGGAGGAGGAACAAGAAACAGATTGTCCATAGTTGAAGGATTTAGAAAGAAGTGAATCTCTTTCTCTCTCATGAGTTTCTTTCTGTGTACACTGAGGATTTAGACGTCCAATCTGTTTCCCTGTCTCTAGTTTTGTGGTGGAGCAGAGCCTGTCATGCGAGTGCTGAAGACCGACCTGTACAAACAGGAAGTGATGTACGCTGTGGTGGTCCATGGCCCAGCCCATCAGCAGTTGTACGCTAAGTGTCCGTTACTGACAGACGACCCAGACTCTGTCTGCGCTTACAGGGATGGCCACTTCCTGTGGAGGTCTGAGGCCATGTGTGGGACGCACAGGTAAGAAGCAGTCTGAGGAACTGACCTTTGAGTTGTCAGGATGTCAATGGGACATGGTTCATTTAAACATGCTTAAGAATAAGAAAGGAACAAAGAGTAGAAAAAACATGAACAGCTTCATTGAGTTGTGGTGTCTTTGAATGAATGTTTTTTTAAATGAAGATGAAGATGTGCCAATATTACTTGATTTATTTACCAGTCAAATGGCATTCCATTTGAGTTTCACTCAAGCAGTGATTCATGTTCATGCTCAGTTACTTTGCAGTCGAGTGACCATCTTAGTTACGATGCTTCTCTGAAGAGAAAAATCAGTCTGAATAAGGCATTTCTATGCTAAGGACTCACTTTTATATTGATGATATATATAGGCTATAGCCATGATATGTGGAGTAGCAGAGTGAACTACCATGATTTCCTCGACTTCATCTTTTGTTATTGTTGATCAAGAGCCCCATGGCGCATCTACATATTGTATCTTTAAGTACTGAGGTTAATTCATTATTTTTTTTCTGTGTTTTTTTCAGTTATCAGTTGGTTTGTAGAGACGATGAAAATCAGATGGGAGCGGAGCTCTGCTCAGGGTGGCCAGAGTTCTATGTTTGGGATAATGTTGCCATCGCTCTGCATGTGGATGACCAGGTACCTTCACTACTCTGATGATGAAGTTATGTTTAAAGTTCTACTCCTTACGGTGGCCCTGAAGGTCAAAACACAACAATATTGAGTTTCTGGAACATAATCACTTTAAATCTGAACACAAGCTCACTTCTCATGTTGACAATTTGACTGAACTCAAAGCAACGCACGGAAAAAGGAAGTCTTAGCTTGAAGTTGTTTGTGGCTAACTGCTAGCGAAACAGGAAATGACTGAGAGGTTCACGTCACTCCCAGTGACAGACACAGTCCTCAGACCATTTTGCGACTGGTTCCCGTTAAACCACAACCAACCAATAAGCATCATGGGCAGAACTTATCTCTACGTCAAGATTTGTGTCAGAACAAAGGGAGTAACAACAGCTATTACTTCACCAAGCCGAACCATTAAAACCTCAACAGAACAAGCTTGGTGTGTCACTCTAGTCCTGCCCCTGTTTTACACACTCTGCTCTGTCCTCCTGTTTCAGGTGCTGAAATTTGATGTGGATCAACTGAGAAAGAGGCTGACGTTCTGTGACAAAGGTTACCCTGTGATTGCAAAAGAGTTTGATCGCATCGAGGAAGCAGAAGAGTTTGTGAGGGTGTTCTGGCCCAACTATCCTTCAGCACTGAAGAAAGATGATGGTCTTCGCATTGATGATGGAGACAGTGACAGAAACATTGACCGTGACGTTGATGAAGACTGAGATGAACACTCTCTCATCACTCCTGACGTGTGAGCGAGTCGTTACGGCCAACTTATTCAGTTAAAAGACGACAAACAGCTTCTAGCCTCCGCAAACCTGACTGGACATATTCACACGTGATACCAGAACTCAAACTTTTTTGTATTAGAATTAAACTATATTCGATTAAAGCGCCTCTCTGGAGCGTTTAAAGCATGTAGCAGATTTTTAATAATGATCTATTTCAGATTTAATCATCCCTCAAGAATTTAAGATATTTTAACCCAATCACAGATTTTAAGAATCCTTCAGATTATAATTTATTTCACTTTATATCCTGTAACAGTCTCAGACTCTGTCGTATTTGAAACTGTCATAAAGAGATTCAAGCAAACAGACGAATGTCCTCCATGAGAAATGATCTAAAGGGTTAGGGTTCTTTTTCAGTCTCACTGTTCATTTGGTTAGATTTTTCAGGTCAGACACACTTTGTATTACGTTTGTCGACATGATAATACCAATTATTCCCCCCGTTTTTATTTAACACTTAAATCCTGCACTGCTACAGATCATCTGGGTGAACGAACTGAACTGAATCACTTACTGAAAAGAGTCGTTCATTTCTCAACTTCAGTTGCGCTCTCCTCTCTCGGTCTCATGTCTCTCTCTCCAGACCGTAACAGTCGCTCAAAGCCCGCCCTCCCTCTCCCTTTCATGTCAGTGATACGTACTGACTGAACCAACAGGACAGAGTCTGTGTCGCTCAAGCCGGCCCTTACTTCTCCCTCTCATGTCTCCAAAATTGAGGAAGTAGCAAATATTTTATTTAACATTTAGGTGTTGCGAAAATGTATGTGCTTTTTATAGCTGCTGTCAGTTTGCAAATGGCTTTTATATCTAACTTAATTTCACTCAGCTGACTGTTTTAACATCCACTAACAATGGTCTCAATTCGATCATGTTTCAGTCAGTACAGTGTGTGTGTGTGTGTGTGTGTGTGTGTGTGTGTGAGCTCCCGTTCAGTACGTTCAGTGAACGAATCACTGACTGAGAGGAAGAGAGAGACTCATAAAGTAACCAAAACCCATTATTATTTTTTTAATATTATTATTTTTTAAATCATTTTTTTGCCCTGTTATATAATTTAAAATATAACTGTTCTGGCATAGGATATATTTGTTGCCATGCATATTTCCTACTGACATGTAGCCTATATTAAGTTAAATTAATTGTCATTCACGATAATGTTTGCAAACTGAAAGCTGCTTTAACAGGCATATACATTTTCGCGACACCCAGCCTAATTGTTATTAAAATATTTAGTGCCGTGCTTCCTCGACTTCGAGAGAATTGAGAGCCAGGGTTCTTGTTCATTGTACTAGTACGTTGTTCAGTGTACGAATCATTGACTGACTGATGCTCAGTGAGTGATTCGTGTACTGAACGTACTGAACAGAACGGTCGGGGAAAATAAATGTGATTGTTTTAGCAGCTTTCAGTTTGCAAACTGTAGCTTTATCCAACTAAATTCTCAGCTCATTAGTTTATTATTCACCACCTGCTGTTCTCAGTACGATCGCGAGCAGAACTAAACGTTCGGCCGTGTTTCAGATTATTAAATTCTGATTCGCAGACAGAGCTGCAGAGAAGTACTGAACGATTCTGTGAACGAATCTTTTGAACGAATCACTTTACTGAATTGATTCTACTGATTCAGTCACTGAAAAGAACTGCTTTTCCCATCACTACTACAGATGTGACCATTTTGGAATTTGTTGACTAAATCTCATGTGTGATTTGTTTGATTTTTTTGTTTTTTTCATTCATTTTATTTCCTCACGTATTTGTCTTATATTATATTAGGTAGACCTGGAGTGTCTTATTACTGCTGTTGGAAATGTGTATCTGTTAATGGGTCGTTGCTGTGTGAAGTCTGGTACCAGTAATTAAATTCATTCATTAAAGACACAGAAGAAGAGAGTATTTATTCATAATTTACTTATTTATACTTTCCACAACTTGTTCTCTCTCAAGGTTCACATGGTTTCAGTTTGGATGAACACAGAAGATCTTATTTTGAAGGGTTTGCTACGGCCGGAAACTCTAAACTTTACCCTGCATTTACGTGTTGTCAAAATGATCGGAATTGTGATTCTCTAACTAGAATTATTTCACGACAAGGCTCCTTAAATCGAAAGAAGAGCTCGAAAAGTCTGTCGGTTTCATTATTAACCACTTGTTGACATACTTTAGTTTACTTTACGCAAAAAAAATTGGCGTACAAAGTCTTCACATTTGTAATGTGTAATATAGTAACTACGACATAGGCATTAGTTGTCGACCTAACTTAGGTACAGCACACATAAAATATAACCCATTTTATTACTAGCATTCATATTTTCTCTTGTGTCGAGTGATGTCGAGTTGATGAAAGGATAAGAAACGACTTTCCAGCTCTGGGAATGGGACCGTCCGAGTGTACATGAATGCAGCATTACTACAGCTAGTCCACAGCCTTTAGGAGCTAGCCGGTAAAGGTCTGTCCGGTTTAGAAACAACAAACCTACCGGGAAAAAATATATAATAAAGTATTGTCAGTGACATTAAACGGACCAGAGAAACTTTAAAGACGCCAAACATCAAATGTATAAACTGTGTTGAATGTTTAAAAGACCATTTAACACCAGCGCGGACTGAGGTCCATCGCTAACAGCTAACTGTCATGTTATAGAAGCTAACCTGGGCTAACAGCTTTAGCCTGTGAGCTAACAGCCTCAGCTCCGCTCACTGAAGGGGGTTATATGGCCGTGACGCCGAGGACGAGGTCCAGTCAGTTGGGAGAGCTGTAAAGGTGAGTCTTTACCTCATAATCAGGTAGATAGGATAGTTTCCAAAGTGACTACAGGTCCATAAACAAGTCCAAGAAACTTATGAATGTTGTAAATGTGAAATTACTTTTTTTATTTTCTCAGAGATAAATCATGTCTTCTTGATAAATCTGGAGCCTTTTCATTTGCTCTACTGTTCGGCAAACATGTTACCTGTAAAGAGGTACGTTGTACAGGCAGTAGTGGGCTCTGGGTTATATGGTTGTCATGGTAACAGTAGCCCAAGTATGGAAGAAGATTAGGGCCAGAAAAGAAATCCAAATGTTGAGAAACAATTAGAAATAAATCTTTTTTTTATTTCTCATGTCTGACCCTAATCCTGTTCCGTAGTCCTAGACACTCAGTATTTGATATTTTCTTGTTTTTTAATCACAATAAATTAACCAAACTCCCGCACACTGTCTAAGGTGAACACATACGATAAATATATCCTTTAAAAAGTTTCCATCAACGTGATTGTGATACATATCAGTATCAAATGATGATTCCAGTTACCAGTCTCTCCTCTGTAACGCCTCTGTTTCTAGGATAGGAGTACCTAGGATTCTGCACCTATGTAGATGGTACAGAAGGGGGATCTCTTCGTCCCCCATTATGCTCCACAACATTCAGATTGAAGGAGAAACTTCACAGGGGCGAAAATCTTGCGTCTTGAAACAGCGGTTTGAACAGGGCCAGTGACATAAACATTCTCGCCATGGAACAGAGTGCGAGCAGCGCTGCAGACAGTGGACAGCGCCCGCAGCCTGGTGATTAAACAAAGCAGCGTTTCTTATTTTTAATTACCAAGATTTGCAGATAAACGCCTGCGCACACTCTGCCGACATGCTGTACTACATCTTAGACGGTGTGCTCTCTCTTTGTGTTCTCCGAAGATCTGTAGTTGTGTTTTAAGCTTTGACTCTTTGGATACCAGCCACCATTAAAAGAACAGTTTGTAAAGTTTTAAACGAGGTATCCGACTGGGTCAAAGTTAAGTTTGACAACCTGAGTCCATTGTGTTGGAGAGATTGTGAGAACATGAAACAGACTTCACACAGACGTGGCAGCAGGAAGTAATCGTCCTGTCTGTTGTGTCATGTTCAGGATGCTCCAGGGGCCATATGGCAGCGTGGACCGGGACCGGCCCCTGATCCGGCTCCAGTTCACGAGCTTCGCTGTGGGGACGGTCCTGCTCCCTCTGACCGGCCTAATCGCCTGCCTCTTCATCTCACTCGAGTACCACTTTGAGGACTCGACATTCACACACTGTCGAGTAAGTCAACACGGGAAGTCAAACCAAAATCTATTTGTTGGCGATCTCTCCCAGAGGACTTAATATCCTCATCAGACGACAGCTGAAGGCTTTATAAAACATGAACACCTGAGTAATAATTCCTCTGCCCTCAGGTATCAAACTACCTCCCATCCATCAGCGCCGCTATCAGCCTGGTGCCAGAGCGCTACATATGGCGCTGCTGCATCGGCCTGCACTCAGCTCCACGCTACCTGGTGGCCATCGCCTACTTCTGCTTTTACCGCCGACGCTTCGAGAGGCTGCCGGAGCTGCTGCTGAGCGGGTTGGTGCTCCTCTGCAGCCTGGCAGAAAACACCGGCCTTCTGCTGCTCACATATGTGTCGTCCACGGAAACTTACAGTGAGTACAAACGCACAAAGACGAGCTGACCCTTGTCTTCCTGACAGGAAGTGAATTAACACAAAGGTCTGGATTGGACTTAAGACACTCTGACATTGTGGACCTGATTTTAAAGTTTGATCAGTGACAGATGTGAAACTGAAGAATCTTTGTAGTCTGGGTGTAGGGATGCCGGTTCTCTGTATTTCAGGGATCCTTTTCCTTCTTTTCACGTTAGTTGAATAGAATCGAATAAATGTCAAACTGTTCCTTGATTTTGTCGTCTGTTCTGTGCTTGTGAATAATGAAAGAGTCAAATGTGTCTGGTTGGTTAACGAGGTGTGTGTGTGTCTGCAGGTGTTCATAAAAACGCTTTCATTGTGTTCATCGGCAGCTCGCTGCTGCACATGCTCATTACCTGCAGACTGTGGCAGGTGATCAGGAGACACTACGTGAACCCAGAGGTAAACAAACAGCTGTGTGTGTGCGCGTGTATCAGCACACACACACACACACACACACACACACACACACACACACACACACACACACACACACACACACACACACAGAGCGCTGTTCTCCCCCACTGGCTCAGCTGATCCCGTCTCTCCTCTGTGACTACCTCTGAAGACGGTACCAGCGGAGGTTCCAGCGGTCTTTGAATCATTTTTCTTTCTCAGATATATTTATTTAAAGAAACTGTCATTCATTCTGTTTTTCTAGCTTTTAAGTCTGACAACAACGAAACAATCTTTGTTATTTTAATGATCGATGGGATCAATAAGTAACGGCAGATCTTCTTCACGTTTCCAAAGCGTGCAGGATGTCACCTGAAAGTTTCTTTATAAACAAGAAATACCCCAGTGTTGGTTGTCGAGGACTTTCATTGTTGTTACCGTGGTATCAAACAGGTGTCGATATAGTTTGATTTGAAACACAATCGTATTGAAGTTAAAAAATATGTTGCCATGACGACCCTGCGGCCTCTCTTATAAACATTGTCGGGGTTTGGTTGGATATTTGGGCTCCGTGATGTTTGACTTTCTCAGCTGAGGTTGTTTCTCTGTAAATGTTTGATATTAAACTCTGTGTGTCCTCCTCAGGAAGTGACATCATATCGCTGGAAGCTGCGTCTCTTCCTCTTCAACATCGGCTGTTGTGCGGCGGCTGCTTACTTCTTCAGACGACACAACAAGTTCTGTGAGGCAGGAGGTGAGTGTTTAGCCGGAGGTGTTCTTGCTGCTAAACCGTGGGTTTGTGTTCACAAGCGGCTGCATCATGAGCGTTACTGAAGGATACCATTAGGGGGCACACTGGAGAGCTCAGGCCGTATACAACTACCTTAAAGGGATACTTCACCTGTTGAAACATGAATCTGTATTGACATTGGGTCATATATGTAGTAGAAATGTGAAAGACATTTTGAAGTTGGTGCTTTCTTGGCCGAGAAAAGGCAGAAAGTGTCTTTTTGGCTCGTGTGGATGAAAGACACCAAATCCCAGAATGCACAGCACCGCAGGCCACTCCAACTAAGGTCCTCTAGTTCAGAATCAGAAATACTTTATTATCCCAGAGGGAAATTCGATCGTTACAGTTTCTCCAAACTATACAATATAGCAGTAGAAATATAGTAATAAAAACATTTACAGACATATTTACTTCAACACATACGGCCGTTTCCTCAGCTGATTCAGAAATTTCTTCCAGAATTGATCTTGGAAATTCCTGGCAGAAAACAGACTCTATGTCTGTGTCCATAGGCAAACAGTGAGAGCACCGAGACTACCAGTCCGCCCCAGCTCGAGCCGGCCTGGGCTCCTCGTCCTCACCGCTGCCGACATGCAGGCCCTATGTCTCGAGCAGCCGGCGGCAGCCAGCAATATAGCCGTGAGATGGCTGCTGCCGACAGGCCGGTCTTTTTTCCCCCATTATCAGCTTTCTCCATAAAGCCTGTTAGCATAGCTTCCAAGCAATATGGCGGACATTAAATTTCGATTCTGGAAGTGAGTTCCCACCCACTGATCTGTGATTGGTCTGTAGCTTCAGTGGTCGAAAATATGAAGAACTAGCGTTGTAGTTTCACACCGCTAACCGCATCAGCTTCCAGTGACGCAATATGACAATATTTGCGTCACTGGAAGCTCCTTTTCAGACTTAGAAATACAGAACTTTCCAGTCTCAGGGGGAAATGAGGGCTGGATGCATGACCATTCAAAAATACTGCCAGTTTACTACTGATACAATGCTTAATGCAAATGAGTGAAGTATCCCTTTAAGTGTGCGACTACTCACAGTCCAAGTGTTTGAGTTTAATGAGTGACTTGTTTTATCAGTATCTTTCACCTTGGCACCATTGCAAATGAGGGTTTTCCCTGAATGTGTTTTCAGAGGATTTAAATAAAATAAATGATTATGACTTATGGCTGAATGCGTACGTAGTTTAGTTTTATTGTTTCATTTGTGAGGGACCAGGTACAGTAGGTAATTTTGACGCCTAGTGTTTGAAACGGGTACTGTAGTCTAAATTCTAAACATTTTAGAGAGTTGTCCCCCCCTCCTCCTCTCTCTCTCTCTCTCTCTCTCTCTCTCTGAGTCAATGCTTACGCAGGTCGCCATGTCATGTAAAAAAGTATAAATTAAGAATAATGCACACATGATTGTTTTTTCAGGATCCATTTTTCTCTTCAGGGGAAAAAGTTTGAGCAGATCTGTGTGGAGCTTTATGGCCCTGAGAGAAAAGGCATGTTGTGCAACAATGCCCCCTAGAGGTCGACCTCGAGGCCCTGCTCATCTGCTCAGAGCAGAGGTCAACAAATCCCTTCAGGGGTTTGAGGGGCAGTGTCGTGAATCATTTCAAAAACCGGAGAGATGATACTTAATAAAACGTTTAAGATATAGTGCCTTAGAAGTGTTTGACAGTGGTGATATACTCGTGACTCCTTATCAAAGATTTTAAGGGCTTGTTTGTCGAGTGACTCCGCCCTCTGTGAGTGTGAGTGTGAGCGTGCTGCTGGTCCTCAGGTGTTCACCCTTAGGTGTTCACCTCCTGTCTGTCCTCTCCCTCCTGCAGTCTACACCTTCTTCGCCCTCTGTGAGTACCTGGTCGTCTTCTCCAACATGGCCTTCCACATGACCGCCTTCTGGGACTTTGGGAGCAAAGAGGTGATTGTGGCCACGCCCCCTGAAGACAAGAGATACTGACCTGTGGACGTTTGAAAGACAGGTGACATAAACGTACCAATAGGACGCTGGGACATTATTCTATAACAGTTAGTGACGTCATGAAGGCGTCATGGACATTTTCTGAGAACTGATGCCTTAAATCCTTGCTGCAGGTGAGCTCAAACTGTCCATCATTCCGAACACACCTGTGTGCTTCAGACTGCTTCAAGTCAAAGTGAATCAAAAAATAGTTTTTAAAATCTGCTGTAATAACGTAACGTTAGAAACAACACCAGAACAAACACATGAAGAAGACTCTGGAGAGTTTAAAGGAGAATTCAGTCAATTCAAACCTTGGCCTTATTTATTGTTTTTATTAAGATTAGAGTCTAAGTGACGTCACATGGGATTTGTAGTCCACTTCTCCATGTTTCTCTAACTCTAATATGTGTCCCTAGTCCGTCTACAAACCCCCCCAATGATGAGAAAAGTCCATCCTCTCAGTCTTTTGCCTGCTCCACTTCCATTTAGAACAAGAAACTTCACAGACATGTTTTGAGGAGCCCTGAGACTTATTTACACTGGTTGAAGAGGAGGAGACCTTTAAAGTGACCTTTTCCCTTGGCTTGGATGCAGGAGCCGTATCATTGATTCATGTGTGTGTATCTGAGTTTCTCTCCTTTATAAACCACATAGACAACATTACAATTATGTCATATTTTCTAATCGTGGGGCCTTAAGGTTTCAGGTCGACATTCGTCTTTTGAATTTAGATGAAAATATTTTCTCTAAATACAAAACGAGGAGTGTGGAGTACAAACTGAGGAAACGGTCGTTTCTGATTACGTTACATCAGAGACGCTGTCCGAGTCGAGCGAAGGAGAAATTTTATCATACTTTTCACGGACTCAGTGAAAACGAGTTCACTTCGGGTGAAGTGAAAGAAATAAACTTAACAAACTGAAGAAGGACCAAAACTGACAACAAACAACAGGAGTATGTTCTTTGTATATTTTCATTCAATAAATATAAATATGAACTTGTTTTCTTTACTCTCGTGATATCTGATGGTCAACAGCAGAACTTTATTATAAAGAACCACTTGAAGCACAAGAATGTTTTTCTATCTCTTTAACCTTCCTTTGAATATTAGAAAAAGGAAATATACATTTGAATATGTTTCATTCGGAAGAGGAGGGCTAGGGTGGTTTCACATGAGGGACCCTGACCTGGATCTGAGTACGCTTGGCCCCAAAGTCCAGTTCATTTGATCAGTGTGACCATAAACGTTCCGTACTCGGGTACCGTGCCCAAGTCCGCTTGAAGAGGTTGTCTTGGGCACGTTTCATGTGTACTCGAGTACGGTCTCAGGGAGATGGAAACGCAATCGTGCTCAAACAAGGAAGAGGGCCGCTATATGAAGTCATTCTAAATTGACGTTGTTTAAAAACCATCGTATCGGCGCAGCACGGCCCGTTTCATCCTCTAAACTGCACGGTAGATGTGGACGCAGGAAGAGGGTCGGGGTTGGCGTCTCAGAAATAACAAGAACATCCACAGTTAGCAGGATGGACTTATTCCGCCAGTGGTTGCCATGGTTGCTTCTGATTCTTTCTGCTTTTTGGCGCATTATAAAACCCACTGTGTGCATACTGTCCCCTGCTGTATCCGACTGAACATCCTGTGATAATACGCAGACCATCTCTTGCTCGGGCACGGTATGAAACACTCGTGTCTAATGTGAAAACGCCCTCAGAGTTAAGGTCACTGAAAATAATTTCAGAATTCTGAGCTAACACTGGGAAAAATAAACCATTAAAACAGACCTTACGACCACAGACTCCAGAGGAGTCTTAATCCTGTTCTTGATGATGAAGTGTTTTGCATGAACGCCACACTGTGGTTTTTCTTACTGGCCATTATACTTTATACTCAGCTCCGCCAGTCCGGCGTTGGCAGCAGATACACAAGGCTTCTATTTCTGCAGGATGCCGGAGCACGGAGCATCAATTTACCACAGAGTAGATCGAGCAGGACAGGAAGTCAGACATCCAAACAACATTAAAACAACCGGTTTATTTTCTGAATAAAACACTCCGTTTGGACGGTTCAGAACAACGACTGAATGTGTGTTTGTGTTTGTAAGAGTTTTATACACATACATCGTATTATCTCTGAATCTATAAATACAGAGGGAACTCCTTGTTCTCGCGTCTCCATCTGTCCGGCAGTGCTGCCCCGTGTTGCGCTCTGAGAACGCAGCCTGTGGGTGCTGACTGACGATGGAGCACGGAGCAGTAACAGAGCGGAGCTGACACACAGTGCACACGTATCAGGTGGAATATCTGATAAATAACTTCACAACCTTTGTGAAGTTTGGGAAACGGAGCGTCTCGTTTCTGCACTTCTTGATTGGAACAATCTGCTCGTAAAGACTGTCGGTTAAAAAATTGTATTACCGGTAATACAAACAAACTAAAAAATGTTTTAATGGAGACGCAAAGTTTGTTCAAAAACTTTATTGATAAGGCAACACAAACATGATCAGTTAGAATGAACTTGTTTTTACAGGACACATTTTCACTGTAAAAATCTTTCTATTGCACTATAAGAGCTGTTAGCTTTGATGCTAACCTGCAGATCAGATCAGACTGTACGACTAGCAGTTAGCATTAACCCTTGAGTCTACAGACATGTTCAAACGTTCCCCTCCGTCCTCCTGATTTCATCTCATACATCGACGTATAAAAATAAAAATATTCTCAACACTCGTATCATTCAGTACATTCCTGTGAAGTTAAAATCACAAAGCTAACGTTAACTAACGCTGAGAAATAACCTGCATTAAGATCAGATATCACACTCACAGTTCCAGCTTCAGAACAGAGTTTCTGCTGAAGTTTTCAAAATCAAACAGAATGAGTGACGGTTTGAAGGTTTCACACATGAAGGACACCTCTCTTTAGTGAGACAGTAATCACACCTGGCTGTGGCTGCCCTGGTTTGACCTGGTTTGGCCTGATGCCAGAGGAGCTGATAAATCAGGTTGGGGAAGGTTATTTTAGTCTGGATTAAACGGCTGCGCTCTGCGGGGGACTGCCAGAATGTGGGCTTTGGTGCCCCCCCCACGTCGGTGGTCTCCTCCTGAAGCCTGCTGAGCTCATCTTTACTAATACCTTCAGTCCTGGTGAAGCTAAATCTGCTCCATTACGGCTCAGCCTGATCAACCTTTGACAGCATTAAGAGGATCAGGAGTTTCACAGAAAAGACCAGCTCACTGCAGAACAGACTCCCAGCATGCTCTGCTCTCACAGACGCCTCTCACTGACTTAATGCACCAGAGCATGCAACCAAACAAATGGAGAATAAAGCGGAATCAAACCGAGCACTTTGTGCGTGTGAACCCTTTTGTTCTTCTGTTTTGCTCTTGTGACAAATAGTGCAAAACTCTTTCTTGAGGATTTTCTTTGGATTCAAACTAAATCTCTAACGATGAGTTACTGTCGGTTTGACCTACAAAGACCATCAGGGTGAAGATAAACGGTTTTGTGAAAGCCCTGCTGGAGGGATACCGGTGTCAGATGGTGCTATGATCATAGCAGAAACCCTCATCCAAGCCTTCATTACCTCCCGTAACCGGGGTAACCAGCAAAGCCCTGGACAGGCTCCAATGTGTCCAAAACAACGCAGACGGAGTCCTCAACCGCCCCAAGCCCTGTCAGCACAAACCCTAATCCCACATCCACCTCCACTGGCTCCAGATTAGATCCCAGATCAAATACAAAATACTTGTCTTCAGTTATAAACCCCTCCATGCCCTCGCCCCTCAGTACCTCTCGGACCTCGTATACCCACACACTAGTCCACAGACCTCTCCGGTCCTCAGTCACTGGCCTGATGTCCATACTACACACCAGACTCTGCACCTATGGAGACAGGGCCTTCAGAGTCACGGCCCCCCCCACCCTATGGACCACCCTCATCTCTGACTTACACACTACCCCATCTTTGGACTCCTCTTTGTGAAATAATACGACATTCAACTGTTCAGGACAAAATCATGAAAGTGAAACAGTTTGTCCACAGGGGTCGCCAAAGTCAACACAAGCCACGAGTTCCTCAGGTGAGCTTTAAATATCAGCCGTGAAACCTGAGTTTAGGAAACACTGACTGCTGAGTTCTCTCTTTGACTAACATCATGTCTCAGCTATCAGTGCACAGTTTCTTTCTGAGCGACCGCCATCAAATATCTAAGATTTCTGTTTCGGCTTCCTTTATGTAGAAGAAGAAAGACTTTTGTTCCTCACTGATCAGCGTTTGGGCCGGCGTGGTCGCTGATAACTGAAATGATGGATGGATGCTTTTCTACAGCTGGTATCAGAACGACTCCACCTCCATGGCTCTTAAGTTTCTTGCTGTGTTGTTTTCCTCGACTGTCAAGAAGCTTGAAAAGATTCAAACTGAAGGTGACAGAAAAAAAAAAAAATCAAAGTGTCGTAGCACTCGCTGCAGGAACAGCTTGAGTCGCACCTTGGACCTCGCCTCAATGGATGGAAAATGTAGGATAAAAGAGATCACCTTGTTAAGTTCTCCCTCGAAGGTACCAACCATCAAAATGCCTCCCTCACTCTTTGGCTCCAGAGATCATGTTTTTGATTTAATCTCATGACTCCTGAGTTCTGTGAAGAGACCCCAAGAACCCAAAGTTCATACGGACACTTAATATTCTACAAGTCTTAAATCTGAGACATATGTCCTCCTTCAGTCCAGCATGAAGATCGGGTGACATACCCGATCTTCTCCCGATACAAATCTGTCAATGAAATGAGTGATGAATTCAATGACAGCATTGGTCATTTGGACACTGGATACCTCGTGCTGAGGACACAAGATAAGTAACGTTAGGATTAGAATCTTTTGCCAAAGTTTGAGACCTTTTCTTTGATTTCTATACATTCTACATGGGTAATAACGTGTGAACAAGACGAGCAAAACAAACACTTAAACAAAGAGAGCTTCAAGTTCCAGAGGCGTGTTCAGGGTTAAGGGTTTGACACCCAACCCTGGATGACTATGATCTCTTCTCACCAGAACCATCTCTAGAATTTCAAACCAAGTTCTGTGCAGGGACGGTTTTAGACAAACATCTCTATCATTGTGTTGTTAGTTGCTTCTTAAAGTGAAAGAAAGATTTCTGAAGGTGGATTAAGTTACGCTGCTGAAGCCTCGGGGTGTATGCTGGAAACGGAATCATCAAAGTCTTCATCAAGAATATCTTTGTCAATAATCCGATTGGCCGAACGCTCAGAGGCTCATCGGCCAATCACAGTTCTGCAAAGTTCAGTTTTTACATTTTCAATACCCGTTGTTTTCCGTGTCCTCGCTCTGACCGCAGAATGTCACGTGCCTCCAAGAAGACTGTCTCGGGGAGGAGAAGGTCTTGTCTCTTTGTTTGACAGGGCGAATTTAAAAAAAATGTCTTTCTATTTTGGT